AAATAGAAGCCACATTCTATTACAAAACTGTAGCCGTTATGGTAAATAGGTAAGTATTTTTTTCATATTCATTGACAATATTTATAGCGTTACTTACATGAAGTGATCTAGACGTAATACCGACAGTAAGTGCCAGTGGTTAATAAAAAAACAAGAATGATAGTAAGCTCTAATAATTGATAAAATATAAAATCGATAGTAAGTTACAATGCCAATAAAAAACAAAACCGATAGTAAGTTCCAATGGCCAATAAAAAACAAAACCGATAGTAAGTTCCAATGGCCAATAAATAAAAAACGATAGTAAGTTCCAATGGTCAGTAAATAACAAAACCGATAGTAATTTCCAATAGCCAATAAAAAAAACTCGACAGCAAGTTCCAATGGTCAGTAAATAACAAAACCGATAGTAATTTCCAATAGCCAATAAAAACAAACTCGACAGCAAGTTCCAATGATTAATAAAAAACAAAAGCTACAGCTAAAAAGAAACGACAATTTTTTTCCCTTGTTTCCATTGTAACTAGGTTTAATTAAATCCATCCAAACAAGACTTGGTATGTGGCTGGCGGGAAGGAAAAATATAATGAGAAGCTATTTAACCTTGGAATTTGATATAATCAACGTTTTGTCTGCTTGATTTATAAGCCTCGGGCGAAATTTGCAGAGATTGAACAATTTATTTACACATATAAAGAACGCCGACGGTGGATATAGTCGTAAAATAATGAAAACTCTGAAAGTTTTATTGCCGATCTAAAGAAAAAGCTGAAAAACACATAACCGAAAGCTTTAATCGAATGTTTTGCTCTTCGTCTTTAATGAAAATTCATTTGGCATAAAACTTAAAATTAAATGAAATTTAACCGCCCACCTGAGTGTTTTTAATTTTGTTCGAACATAAATTAGATATGAGAGGTGTTGTTATACAAATATGCCATTACGTTTCACGTAAAAATTAAAAGTTCAATTATATACCTTAGTTATTGATACATTGCACTCAATTACCCTTCTCCCAAGCGTGTTTAATGAAAAACAAGTCATATTAGACGCCTAAAAATTATTGAACGGGTCCTCAAATGGTAAAGTTCTTCCAATTAAAAACGCAGAGTAAACCATGTTAAGTATCAAAGTGAACACCAAACGTTATAGAAAACAAAATAGGCATATTTTGAAGTTACTACCCCTAGTCACCTGACCCATTTATGAGATAATTTCGGTTTTATATAAACAGTTTTGTTCTGTGGTATTGCTAGGTTTTAGCATTAAGAGTGTTTATTTTAGTCGCTATTGTTAGATGTTCTATTTACCTGTTATTAGCATATCATAGGTGAAAGCAATTGAGGCAAGGTACAAAATTTTCTATGTTTTGATAGAAAGTTACGTTCTTCTCTTTCTTTAATGTTACAGTTTCATGAACAGTATTTGTTAAAACGTGTAATATATTTATTATGAACATAATGTGGCATTGTCAGCTTAGTATATCGCCGAACCTCGTGATATGTTGGGATTATGGCCGAAAATATCGCCAAAAGCAAAGGTATGCAAGTGATGAAGCAATTTGTGCTAATTGTTACACGGTTTTGTTTTTTATACATAATTACATACTTCTAGTTAGAAGGTAATATGAATAAGCGATATTAATTACTGAATTAATCTTTAGTTATGGCCAATGCACGTAGCTTGCTTTGACCAGAAGATAATGATAATTTAACACTTCATAAATTCGCAATCAAAAAAACATTCCTTGAACCTGTATCTGTAAATAAAAGTCTCACTAAATCGAGGAAACGATGTTTTTATATTCCCACATAATGTAATAGTTACTGTCTCTGCACTTTTTATCTGTAGTTTTTATTGAAATTAAACTTATTTAGCCATCTGCATCATGTCCAAGTTTCCTATATAATTAATATTAATATATTAGGTTTGTTGATTTAAGAGCTTTGAAATAAATTTAGAATATCATAATAATTTCCAACTGAAGTTTGTTTCCATTATGTGATTTTTTTTCGAACATTAAAGCTAAGGAAAACAGTGTAGTGTTTTTAACTTTCTTGTAATGCAAAAAATGTCAATACTGAAAAAGTATTAGTTAAATAAATACTGTTCCTCTAAGAGGAAGTACGGGTTGGCAAAGCTCTGTGTTTCGAACCTGGCTAGTTGGGTTCAGATTTATTCAACACCACACAGTATTACACGCACTGCAAGCCAGGGGTGCGTTATAAGAGTGAAAGTCAGTTCTTTAATTGTATGGTAGTGTGCTGCTAAGTGGTTGCCTTCAATTTAGTCAGTAGCTTAAAATTAGGGACGGAGGCAGATAGCCTTAATAGCTTTGCTGTAAATACAAACTTCAAATACTCCTCTGAGGGTACTGTTTGTTAGTTTAATTTCGCGCAAAGCTACTCGGGGGATATTTGCGCTAGCCGCTCTTAATCTAGAATTAACAGAAGGAAGGCAGCTGGTAAACACTACCAACCGCTAACTCTTGGGCTATTCTTGAGAAATAAATAGTAGGATTAAATGAAATATTATAGCACCCTACTGCTGAGAGGGCGAGCATGTTCAGACCTGCCACCATCAGAATTCGAGTCAAGCGTCCTAACCACCAGGCCATGTCTGGCACATTGATGGAACTGACATATATCTCACACAAAATGTATTGCATGTGTTTCTCAATCATTTTTGGCCTAAGATCCACATGCGATGATACAAGTTTTCTGTATTATATCCGAAATCATGGTTCTACGTTATCTGTAATAAAATGTCACAAAATATTTACATTTTTTATGGCGCAGTCTTATGATCTAATCCACGTAGTGAAAATATTAAACTGGTTGTAATTATTTCAAGGTTATGTTCGCCCTTTGATGTAGATACGACCAATTAAAAATATGATGTTTTATCCTCTGTAAGATACAAAAGAATCCATGGGACTAAAAGTTTAGTAACGTCAGATGTCGTCAGTTATTATTTGCGCCTTAACTCTATATTTAATTATAAAGAAAATTTAGTCTGCTATTTACATGTTGAAAAATAAATTAAATATACAAATATACTTTTAAACAAAAGTATGATACAAGCGTATATTTCTCGGGTGCAAATACTGAGTTTTGAATTAACGAAAGACAAAGTATAGCGGATTTTGTTTTCTATAGCTGGTGAAAGAATTGTGTGGCATTGATGACAACTGCAGTCACAACTGATAAAATGCAAAAAAAAACATGTATAATACTTATTTCAAGTTCCTCAAAATTACAGAAACCTAATAACTTAACATTTTTAGAAGGTTTAAATCCTCATTTTTAAGAGGTTTATAATTGAGTTTTTTATATTTTTCACATCAGAATTCATACTCTTTGTTTTTTAACCTTCATGATTCTCAAGTATAAGAATTTCAAAATATTCTTATTAATTATTTTCTGTTGCAAGTGTGACGTTGGCATGTGCTCATTTTTAAAAAGCTTAACAACAAGTTTTGGTGTAGAGAGGATAATTTTAGATAGAGTTTAAAATGCTTTCATGAAACAGATAAAATTTAAACCTGCACATCAATTACAAAAGATATATTTAGGTAATTAATCTGTGTATCTGGAATACTTATAAGTTACGTTTCTGACTAGGTGGTATATTTCTATTTTATATAGTTATTTTAAAGAAAATATTTATTATTAAGGAAAATAATAATTCGTACAGTAAAGTGTCAACTTTTTTGTCTTGACAAATATTAGTTTGATAAAAGTTCCCTTTCTGGTCCACTCTTTGTAGTGTAATTTTTCATTTCACCAGTGCTATAAAGTGGCCAGTCATAATATATATAGGCCAGGCATGGCCAGGGCGGTCGACTCGCAATCTGCGGGTCACGGGTTCGAATCCCCGACACACCAAACATGCTCGCCGTTTCAGACGTGGGGGCGGTATATGCGACGTCAATCCCACTATTCGTTGGTAAAAGAGTAGCCCAAGAGTTGATAACTAGTTGCCTTCCCTCTAGTCTTACACTGCTAAATTAGGGACGGCTAGCGCAGATAACCCTCGTGTAGCTTTGCGCGAAATTCAAAAAACAAACAAACATAATATATATATACGCTTGTTATATAGAATAATTAGCGAGACGGAATGTCTTGAAGGAGAGAATGTAAACACTGGGCTCTAAATTAACTTTATCAAAAGCATTTTCAATTATTTTTTTATTACGCATATTTATTTCGCAAAATGAAGTCAAACTTCGAAAAGGATGTCGTTGATAAGACAAAGTGAAATACTGAATAGTGGAATAGTGAAAAAACAACTGAAAACTTGTTCCAAAGTAAAACGTTTAAGTGGAGAAATTTACTTAGTTATTCAACTCTAAAATGTTCAATGCGTTTCCTATTTTAAATTTACCTTTTACATACTTTTTTTCGTTATTGTTCAAGTTGTTTGTCTGGTACTAAATTCACCATTCACCAGTTTATCAATAGAGCGTTTGTATGACACAAAATTATCACAAACATCCGTTAGAAAGTTGGTGTATCTGGGTCATATTTAATATACTAACTATAGATTCTGCTTCTGTTGAACTGTCTTTCAACGTTTTGTGTATTTCGGCGAATCTCGTGTTTGTATTTTAATATTAATGCATTAAATTAATCTTCAGATATTTTTCGAAGAACCTTCACTTAATGTTTATAACATTCATTTTTGACTGAATTTTGAAGTAAAAACTTGTATTTGTGAAGGTGTGTAGGTGTTCACTTTGTTTTTGACATAGCAGTTTTTCGTAGAATATTTTAAACTTAACTCGTGCTCTGTTTTAAGTTTTGTTTTTGTGAAATCCAGAATTTCTTCAACTCTTTTCTTTCAAATGTTGCTGAGGTTGTTTCTTAAACAAATATTCTAGGCCTCATAAAATTTCACCTTACATCAAACATTTAATTAGAAAGGTAACATACGGCTAGAACAAACACATCGATTTTCATCATTAAATCAGTGCACGTGGGGAAGACAAAAGCACTTACCATCAGTATTAAATCCGTGTACATAAGATGGACAAATAATTTCATAAAAAGTTCCTGCTGGAACAGACGGCCAGCAGATAACACCATCCCATATCACTGGACAAAACAAACCTAAAACATGAAAGTTATAAGTTAGTACAGGTCAACTGGGCACTTTATATATTTTTCTATGTTATGCCTAAATATTCATAAAGCTAACATTATTATATATATATATATCTCAGAACAACAGATGATTAAACCATGTGTTTTTGTTGTTCTTTTGTAAGAAAATGATTTACATAAAAAAGGAAAGTACATGACGATAGTTGATAGTAGAGCTTTGAATAAGCAAAACTTAATACTTTGAAACAAAAGTCATGGTTTGATGATGAACAAATTGAAATATTTGAAAAGTCGTGATGTATTTATCTAAGAATGGAGTGTAATGGGTGTTAAGGCTTATTGAACTGTTTTTCTAATTTCTAATAAATAATAAGATGATAAAAAATCCTTTTGTGAAAAACGTATTTCTTACTTTAGGTTAAACTAAGATTTCTTGTCAAATAGAAAATCACATATTTTTATTTGATACAGTTGTTTTTCATGCCCGTCGTTAGGGCATTTTGTCATTTTAAACGAACGTTATACTTAATTTCACCACAACTACACATCACATACAATTGGTTGAAAACTAGCTTGGCTTATTCCTTACAAAAAATTAACAGTGTGGAGATTAACAGGCTGGAGTGCGCATGACATCATAATACAATGAGCTGGTTTATTTCCTTACGTGCCATTTTGAAAGAGAATGCGACTTGGAAACTGTTAACGATGCCGTACACTTGTTATGATGTCATTCTTTTTAACTAAATTATTAAAAAACAGATAAAAGCATTCTTTTATAACACGTCTGAGTACTTTCACAATATTTTTTGGATAAAGTCCTATATAAGGGGTTGTAAGACAGCGTTCCAAAATATCGTAACGTTAGGCCTGACTGTTGGATTTACTCTTCTAAAATTAATTACTAGATCTATCGTAGCAAAATATGTACTAGGCCTAGAGTCTGTAGCGTTTACTAGACTTATATGCAACACTTTAGTAATACTGTGTTGCGTCAGCG